TCAGCGGGAATGGATGAGCCCACTATCGACCCATCCCCACTCATCGGAGGGGTTGGTGGCACCGTCTTCCACTGTCCCACGTGGTGATGAAGGGCGATATCAACCCTCACAGCAGTCTCCAGCGACCGGAATGTGCCACAACGCGCGCTCCTCCCTTCCGACGGTGGAAGTCCCAAGGCCCGACATCGGGGCTGGCTGCCCCCCCCCCCCCCCTCCGACGACGATTGCCGCCAAACTGACGGGTTTATCGGAATAACTGGGGGCGACGACCACTTTCACACGCGCATGGGTGGCCAGTTGAATACCCTCGCCCGGGTGCGCGTCAATTTGACCCCACTGAGATCTCAAAAAGCAACATAGCTAGCTACATGAAATTAACGGGGTAGGTTTGCGTATACGTGAACTCACTTGTGTCAGAATTTGAGGTTCACAGATTGTGATCCTGGGGTCAAATAAACCCAAACAAGTTCAAACTTCAGATCAGAGGCTCAAGTGCCCCAGACCTTCCCATGCAACTGCCATTGAGCTAGACACCTGTTCTAAGCAAAATTTTAATGACGTTCAATTCAATTAACTAACCTTGTTTGAGCTTCATCAGATCAAGGTAACCGAATGCCTACGAGGCTGCTCCCATTCTGTCATTCGAATATGCGTCAGGGATTACGCTAGACGGCTTGTCCCTAAAAACAGAGCGTTGACATTGGACATTTTAAGTTAGTGACCCATTCTGACCTTCAGACTATTCTATTCTGATTCAAGTCCATGGAACATGTTTTTTTCCAGTCCTTGGCATGAATAAATTCGAAATGAGCACCAGCAACTACCCCTTAAACCAAACTCTCGAGTAAAAAAGCAATAGCTTTGACCTCAGTCTGACCTTTGCACCTGACCTCAGGCCGATGGAATTGGCTGTAATTAGAGACTGAATTGGTTTATTCCCTGATTAACTATCTCACACATGTGTGGCCCAGTCAAGCACACTGTTGTTGCATCACATTGAACGATTTCCTAACAATACTTTTCGCTGACGGCCATGGCCCGACTTTGACCTGCCAAAGGTCAGCGACCTTACAAGGTACATCTGAATTTGTACATTGAACGATCCGCTGCTCAATTTTCGGACCGGCGACCCGACCCCGACACGGGTCACATGGTCACGCACCAATCACCGCGCGCCACGCAGGGCTGCACCCCGGCGCGACGCGCCGGGCAAGGTGACCCCAGCCAGCGGCCCGGACCGACCCGGACCAGCCCGAACCGAACTGGACCGGCCAGGCCAGCCGGCCCAGCATCCAAAAAGGGAGTGCACCACCAATACAAAAAGTTGCACGCAAGCAGCCATGCGGTCCCCCTACAGAATCACCTGTAACCTAGATGCCTGTTCTAAGCAAAAGATGACCCTTGAGATTTGTTTGGCATTTCAATTAAATTAATGGCCGAAGACTACGCTGGGCAGTATGTTGTTTAAAAAAAACAACAAAGGCTTCATGGGGGTCTTTCAGGTCAGTGTCCTTTTCTGACTTTCATAAAGCTCAGATAAGATGTCCGTTGACGTCCGTTTGATCAAGAGGGTCAAAACAAGCGTCCAAAAATACTTGTATAGTAAGGTCTTCAGTGAAAGAGTGCTTTATGCCTGACCAGATATCAGTGAGATTAGTTGCAATAAGAAATTTGATTGTCACATTGTAAAAGAAACTATTCAAAGCTGCTTAGCTTTGTCTAGTACTTTATTGTCGCATGAAATTGAACGACTCTCTAGGACTTCCTTCGCTGACAGCTATGGTTTGACTTCAACCAAACGTAGGCCAGCGATCTTACAAGGTACGTCTTCTTACTTGATACCAAAAGATTGACTAATGACTCAAACTAAGCGACGTTTGGCACATGTATGCAACGTCATGTACGAGTACGTCACTTCAAAAGCCATGCAGGAACTTCATCTAAATAATTGAGTCAGTCACGGCGCTTGTTGCTTTTATGAAGCTGGGCTTTGGGAATTTCGTTATTGCCGTTTGGTGTCGGTGAGAAATCCTTCGCATGAGCATGACAATATTGCGGGAAAAGTGAGCAGCCAGTGATTCTAGTAACGCGGACGGGAAGAATCAAACTAAAGGAAAAAACAGCGATATAAATCAGAAAAATCTCCGCGTAGTGGCGCGCGGCGTATCTATCCGCCACGGGGCACACGTGGAGCAGATTGTTGATTGAAGTTTTCTTCGCAAAACGGCCAGGTTGCATACGTACATGGGGCAGTACTATCATTTAGTGAAAAAGGGCATGCAGAAACAAAACAATCGTCATCACCGACCTCGGGAGATTACAAAGGTTACGGAAACAAGCTTTCAAATACACAAAATGCTTTAATTGGAACCACTTTATAACAGCAAAATGGGCGCAAAAGGGAGCCTGTGTCACCAACGGGTTCAGGAAGTTTGAAGCCCTTCAATGCTCACATTTAACAAATGCTGCAAAACTGCAGGATGTTGCAACGCCGGTTTGTGAGTTGATGAAGCAAGGTTAAGTCCTAGAACCGCCCCACTGTTCTCGCAAGGCACGCGAAGTCCTGTAAGAGGATTTTGGAAATTGTTGCGCGTGGTTGCTGAATGTTGCAGAAGCAGTTTACAGCTAAACGAAGCAGAGAAGTACCCTAGAATCACTTCCATTGTTCTCACAAAGCGCAACAGCTCTTAAAGAAGGATTTTGGAAATAACTGCAAGGGGATGCAACATATTGCAAAAGCGGCTTACAGTTAAATGAAGCGAAGTAGCTGTAGTGAGACGCCAAGCATTTCACCAAAACTTCTCTGTATTTTAGTGCACCTACCCTCTCCGCTTTCCCTACGGCGACTCCCGACAGCGGGGGCCGCGAGCCGGGGCCGCGCGAACTGCGGCGGCGGCGCGCATCTGCCGCGCAGCCGGGGCCGGCCTGGGCGGCGCGCACTGCCGCGCAGCCGGGGCCGGCCTGCGAACCTGACCATCGTGCCGCGCCCCGCCCCAGCATGGGCGCAGGACACAAGAGTACAACTGCACTGCGAACACCCCACCCTGATCCTAATGATCAACAAGTACACAATCGCACGGGTCTTCGGCTCTCGCCCGCTCCGACGCGGCAACACTCGCTCGTCACCGTCGCCTATCACACCGGCACCACCATCAGCATCAGTAGCATCCCAAAAGCGATCAGCATCAGCAACCTCTCCGGTCACAGGCATTCTCACGAACAAACTAACATTGTCATCCGCGCCTCCGTCACCGGCGTCGCCTGTCTCAGCAGCACTATCGCCCCTTACGACGCAAATTTCGTACATGCCACGGTACGCCGTCAATTTCCACCACTTGGTCTGAAATAACGCACCAGTGGCCAAATCACGCACCAAATGCACTTGGTCTGGCGCGCACCAAGCAGACGGCATGCAAGTCTACCGGCGGCAAGGCGCCGCGCAAGCAGCTGGCCACTAAGGCAGCTCGCAAGAGCGCGCCGGCCACCGGCGGCGTCAAGAAGCCTCACCGCTACCGTCCGGGCACGTTGGCTCTTCGCGAGATCCGTCGCTACCAGAAAAGCACGGAGCTGCTCATTCGCAAGCTGCCGTTCCAGCGCCTGGTGTGCGAGATTGCACAGGACTTCAAGACGGACCTGCGCTCCCAGAGCAGCGCTATCCCTGCAGGAGGCCAGCGAGGCGTACCTGGTCGGTCTGTTCGAGGACACGAACCTGTTCGCCATCCACGCCAAGCGGGTGACCATCATGCCCAAGGACATCCAGCTGGCGCGTCGCATTCGTGGCGAGTGTGCTTAAAAGCGCTGAGAGCGAAATCATCAACGCGCAAGATGATGAATCATCTGCGCCCAGGTGGCAGATGCGCGCCGCGCCAAGTATTTCACCAAAACTTCTCTGTATTTTAGTGCACCTACCCTCTCCGCCTTCCCTACGGCGACTCCCGACAGAGGGGGCCACGAGCCGGGGCCGTGCGAACTGCGGCGGCGGAGCGCATCTGCCGCGTAGCCGGGGCCGGCCTGGGCGGCGCGCATAAGCCGCGTAGCCGGGGGCGGCCTGCAAACCTGACCATCTGCCGCGCCCCGCCCCAGCAGGGGCGCAGGACACAAAGTGCAACTGCACTACGAACAGTAGCACCCCGGAATCACCTCCATGTTGCCAGAGGGCGCAAGAGCCGCCTGAAAAGGATAACCGTTGTGGCCTTGCTTTGCTGTTTGCTTGAAAACTGCAATGTTTTCTAAAAAAAAACATTGCAAAGCTGCAAAAAGCTGCTATGTTGCAATTAGCCCACTCCGTTAAAACACTACTCGTACGCACGCACGAACATATCACTCAAAATATTTCAATTTTGAGTTATTCCCTGCACCCTACTAATTGTACAGGGCACCGCGGTCCACCGCCGTCAGAGGGGCCCGTAAAATCACTTTATCTTACCTACACCATATCCTAAGACCTCACCCAAGACATCCTTGCCTACGAACTTACCCTATCCGGAGATAACTTGTCATTACCACGCTCAGATGAACGCACATGAGGGATAAGCGCAGAGGGCCTAGAAATTTTCCGAGAAATTAATCCTCATGCATCTGTAATATTTCGCGGACACGTGCAATAATCTACTAGCTATGAGTTTGGACGGAAAGGTGGGGATCAGCCGCGCCCGAGCGAAAAGTTGGGCGGAAAAAGTGGAACGGATTATCATCCGAGGTCGCGTGTTTCGTGATTTTGCGTCTTTTTAGTGGCGGTGTTTGCATGGATTCGGTGCATTTTGTGAATTCACGCTTCAGGGTCACGTGCCACGTGGCTCGTGTATTTTGATCACCCGACCACAGGTCGCATTATTCCGAGCGGGGATGAGAGCCAAGGTGAAGGCGCTCCATCCGCTGAGTCGAAGTCGAAGGCACGGGTGCGGAATTGGACTTAGGAGACGAAAACAGTACTGCATGAGCTTAAGTGCTATGTCGCGGAGCCGTTCAGACTGCATACGTGGATGAAAAAAGCCTTTTCACGGCACTTCAGTCATATATTCGTAAAACAACATAACACTGAAGCGATCGTATTAAAAGGAAGCATACCTTCGCCAGGATCAGTCGAAAAATACTTGCATTTTTAAGCCATGTCGGACAGATCCGTGAGACAACCGACACACATGCATGCATCCAACACTGCACTTGAGCTTTCATGAACCGCCGATTTACCGCATTCATACACTTCCACTTGTCGGAGCAAACCGCAGATAGTTTCACGTTCATACTTGACACTAAAGTTGCGTCACGGACATTCCCCTGGTCATGAAACGTGGTCCCGTTTCCTTGCCGGAACGTGTGTGAAAAAAACAAACAAAAACCACTTGCAAGTATGGGATTTCTCATGTTAGCACTAATACACCTCCGATGACCATATCCAGGTTTTGCTAGGCGCGGAAGAAAACCTCAAATAACTAAGCGATGCTGGCAGGAGCACACTCATGTGAAGAACCGTGTTACGTTGACTACTTTTCTTAGTTGTTCGGGGTGGGGGCAGCGAGCATGACCGATGATGTACGACGATTTTGGACGTTGGGAAAGGATGGCACGCTCCACTTGTTATAGCAAAACTTGTCCTTTGTTCGGGAACATAGAAGTACAACGGCAATAACAGCTTTTTGTCCTTATACAATGCACTGAAAGTCAAGGCGTCACGTACATGCAAGCACAATACAATGCAATAAAAGGCCCAGTACTAACGTTTATGCTTAGCTTCAGCCTTGTCCACTGAAAACCACGATGTACCTGGGTGGTAACCAGGGCGAATATCACAACTCAAGACTCAGCCAAGTATAGCCTTTCCAGGTTTCATTAATCGACGAGAGCCGTTCCTATGGTCATTCAAATTCAAACATGGAATGTCGTACACCTCAGCTCACACCTCACCAGTTGATGATCATAACACTGTCTAGGACAGCTTCTAGTTTTTTTTTGCGGACAAAAACAATACAGTTAAGCTGTTCGTGAATGGGGAATTCTGATCACGGAAAAGCCGAACACACTCCTCATATTGCCACATACCTCAGAGGCATCAACAGACAAACCCATAACAAACGATCTGATTGCTGACGACAGTTACCATCCGCAGGATCCGAGCAGCACTACTGATCGGTGCGCCATCAAAAAGAAGCTCGTGCCAACAGAGCCCTTTCTCACTTATCTTACAACTGCAGCAGCAAACCCACGACATAACTCCCGGAATCGCTGCACCGCACGTACGAAAACTGCCGCAAGAAAGAGCCGGTAAAGATATACATCCCAAATACCGTCAAATCAAATAAAATGGCAAAGAGCAAGAACGCCTGGAGCTTGGACCGCTACTAAGGAAATATTCACATGGGAGCGACCATCAGGTTCAGAAAACGAGAGCTTTTGATCGTTCTCAAATTGCCATTACACAACGTGCCAGGTGTTTAGATTGATCACAATCATGGCACCTTCACCAGCTCCACAAAAACTTGGTTGAGGAGCCGACAATCTTCTGCGGCGAAGTGCTTCAATTCAAACCGGCGCAGGATGCTGCATACCGCTCAGAGGGATTTCAACAGAAAATAACGCAGAGGGCAATTGCACCGACCCTTCACAACTTACAAAACACAGAGAAGTCGTCTGAGGCGCACAGCGACATACGCACGCTACGAGCCATCCTGTTGCAAAACAACGCGAACGCCGTCTTCACAGCTGCTGAACCTCTCTAGCTCCACCGGCGCGCAGCTCTGGACACGGACGTGGCCAAGCGCAGCCAAGGCCACGTCCGTGTCCGGATGTCGCCGTGCCTGCCAGCGGCGGCAGCACACCAGCCCCGCCGGCTTGCCACCGCCACGCGTAGCTCTGGAGCCGTCGGTCCGGTGCCAGGGCGGGAGTGCATCCCACGGCGTCGCGCTCGCTGGACGGCGCGGGGAGGCTGCACGCTACAGCTGTACGGCGACGCCGTCGGTGGGGCCGGCGGCGAGCGAGGCGCGCCGGCCGCGGGCCGCCGCCCACTCCTGCGCCCGGTTGTAGCAGAGCACGCCCAGCAGCACAGTGGCCGTACCCACGCCGCTCAGCACGGACACAGCGTTGCCGAAGATGAGCACCGAGAACCAGATGAGGAGCGCGCGCTTCACCGTGTTGGCCACGCTGCGGGCAAACATGTCGCGTCACACTGGTACCGACGGGCGAGGCTTGACCGGTACCGCTGACACCAACGGGTGAGGCTCGACCGGTACCGCTGACACCAACGGATGAGGCCCGACCGGTACCGCTGACACCAACGGGTGGGGCCCGACCGGTACCGATGGTACTAACGGGCGAGGCTCGACCGGTACCACTGGCACCGACGGACGAGGCCCGACCGGTACCGTTGGCACCAACGGACGAGACCAGACCGATACCGCTGGCACCGACGGATGAGGCCCGACCGGTACCGTTGACACCAACGGACGAGGCCCAACCGGTACCGTTGGCACGGACAGCCACAGGGTGCGGCACCATCAGTGGCCGACAAGTTAAATATTAGTGCTCGATTTCTGCAGCAGGGGAGCTCCATCGTTTAAGCCAGGACGCGGCGATGTCAAACAAGGTCGTGAGCCTGCACGAAACACCCACCAATCATTACAGACATCGAGCACAGCACGCATGTCCTGCCAGTCATCGGCAACGCAGGCGACGTCATGCACGGAAACATCCACTGACATTTAGCGGCATTTGTCTCGTGACGTGGAAAAAAGTTGCGGGTCGGAATATACTTCAGTTGGGAAAAAGCACCCGGCCACGAGGATGTGTATTTTCACGATTTTATCTTGGGAGTCTGGTTAGGTAGTGTCATTTAGTAACGAGGTAGAAATATGGGACCGAGACAACTGTATTCATATATATATATATATATATATATATATATATATATATATATATATATATATATATATGTGTGTGTGTGTGTGTGTGTGTGTGTGTGTATATTCATGCACAACTCATTACACGCTGGAAACGTTATTACATATGTGCAAACGTAACGCACCTGAATTCAAAACTAAGCGATGAGAACGGTTCCGCTTTATTGAAGGATCTCGCCGGAAGATAAAATGACTCGACAAAACAAAAAACTGAGACTGGAGGGCGCAATTGCGAATGAACCGAAAAACAGCCACCCAAATACGTTGTTCTAACCAGTTGCTCTATTCAAGTATTGTTCTCGCCAATCAAATCAAATTTATTGTTTCTATGGCCTCGGTCTGAATCATGACTTCGTCGAACTCACCGATTATCAGCCAATGAAAATGTTTGCCTAATTGCAGCACGCATATACAAACTATCACGCATCACGCATGTTTTCCGCCCCACCTGTATGTCACAGGACTGATGTAGCCCATGAGAACGTAGGCAGTAAAGCTCTGCATGTGGAAGGAGAGGCCGTTGAGGGCCAGCGCCGACAGAAGCTGCGGCTGCAGCGTGCTCAGCTGCTCCGGGCCCACCAGCAGGTAGGAGACCGGCAGCTGTACCAGCACGGACGACAGCGACGTGTAAAACTGCAGCTCGGTCGGCCTGCGGAACGCGGGTAAAACTGCGGCTTTACGGCCCGCCGAGCGCCGCCAGCACTACAGTTTTCCACATGTCGAGCATGGATAACGCTGCAACTGCATCAGGCAGTGGAGCAGCGGTTTTGGGCACAGGGTCGCAGTCGGAAAAAAGGACATCCGTGACAGAGGAACGCATTTCACACACATTTTAGACATTTAAGGGCTAACGTAATATATTTGGGGGGGGGGGGTCATTTTTAACCTTTGGTTGGATACTGGCCTTTCTGAATTCACTGTTGGGCGATACATCTGTATCTTTCAAAGCTCCTCCATTGATAAGGTTTACGGGCTCGTTGATGTTTTTGTCTTGCACTAGGTGATCTATTCTCCCCAAATTTATGTTGAAAAACATTGGAATGTTTGCTTACCCGTGACAAACATACCACAGTTCATGTTCATCTTTTACTATTTAAGTGTTCACTGAGTTGTATGCATGCAACCAAAGAGAATGCAAAACCTTGATTGATTTTAAGCAGTCATTTGGAACTGATGCCCCCACTCATTAAGACAAAAACAACCACGGCACACATACCTCCTGTATAATATACGTTCATGCACTTTTGTAATATCGCAAACAGAGGAAAGCCATACAGTCTATTGACCATGTTTATCCAGAGGGGATGGTGGCGGGGTGGGATGTGTCACTTAATGACAATTTTCTATCTTTTCATCAAGCTAAAGCAATTCCATTTGGTGATGCTTCCTGGCCATCAATTTAAAACATCCTTTTAGCACATAACGTGAGCTATGACTTGCCATTTGCGTGATAGGCGTGCTCATGACATTACCAGGGGATCTTGATTCGAGAAAATAAATGCATGTTTGTTTGCTATTTTTCACAACATTTCTATTTCTTTTGCTTTTATCAAGCTCATACCTATGAACGAATATTTTCTACCGATGTTGAACGTTCGGATTACGACCTGGAAAGTTAATATCGTGTGACACTCTCAGTACTCTGGCTGTGAAGGACAGTGTTGTTCAGCCATTTTACAGCAGTGCGTCAAAATTGTCTCACCAAAAGGCACCAATGCGAACACAATGCCTTCTGCAAATGCACGGAGACCAGGATCGGCGGGAAATTTAATATGTTCACCAGCGAGCGGCCGTAATTATGAACATTGTATGGTGTTAATTCCACCGTAAGACCATATTCAAAATTTTATGTTGGCATTGATCTAACTCTCCAGCACCCTGCACTCAATGCCAATTACAAAATAGTTTGAATATGTGCAGCAATGTCAAAATGCAGAAATAATTAAACAATTTGAAATGGGTTGCTTAGATGAGGCGAACTGCCATTTAACCAAACAATTTGCTCTGTTCAGTTTGTTTATGGTGTTTGAACCTTCCATCCATTTTCTGTCCGAATTGGTCCAAACCCCTTTGATACCTTAAAGCGCGGAGTTGCCGCATGCACGTTTTTCATATGTAACTCCAGCAACGGAAACAAGGTCAACTTATGACCCGTCAAAACTTGAAGAAAAGCACAAATGGAGCTATCCACCGATCTGACGGCACAAGAACTCACGTGTACTTGTACTTCTCGCCAGAGATGAGCAGCTTGGAGTACACATTCTGACAGCACTCAGCTAGGTTGGTGCAGATGGCAGCACTGAAGCCACGAATGTCGAAACTCAGCTCATTGGAGGAACACAGTGCCAGTCCCAGCATCACCGGCACCAAGGAGCAGTTCACCACCAGACTTGTCACCTCGCCTGAGGAGCGCCATAGACTCATATGACGTCATCACACGGCGCCGGACCCTTCAACACAGACACCACACAGCAGTTCGTCAGCAGACCCGTCGTCTCGCTCGTCACATGACGTCATCACACAGCACTGGTCCGTGCTTCACCAGGGACTATCCTTTTACCTGACAAGTGTCACATGTCATCGTCGCACACTAGTAGAACATCATATTTTTGTTCTCAATCTGGTAAGAAGAATGTTCATCACACATCTGGCACATCCTGATTCAACCAATATTATTGACATTGAAAAATCATAATACTCTGAATGGTGAATTTCTGGGAGCAGACCACACACTGACCAGCACTCATTGGGAGCACTGACCACACCATCTGATCATGAAATTTGAGGCCAACAGCAGAATTTTACAACACAGCTTAATGTGCCGCAACACCTGGAATGGTATGCTCTGTCTCACATCACCTGATGTTTACATGCTCAAATAGTGAGCAATGAAGTGAATGGGACATACTCCACTATGGGGGGGGGGGGGGAGGAGGGGCATTCAAGGCATATCACCAAAATTTTCACCAGGGGAGGGACACATTTCCAATTGTATCTTGACTCCTGCCATTTGGACTAAAGTCTTGCAAATCACCCAGTATCTAGTGCAATATGCTCACCTCTCTGAAAGCAAGCATACATCTTGTTACATAAATATTTTACTCTCAGCCTCTGCTGCTGTGTTATGATTCCATTATTTTACCTGGACTGAGCAGGTGGGATGTGATGACATTTTTTTTTTAGCCAACAGATCACAGAAAGCTTGTCAGACAATGCTTGTTATACACTTAACCAATGGTGTGTGTCTCTGTATTTGTATTTGCTTCATCCATTGTTTCTTGTCCACCTAGATTTGCTGAATCACCTACCCAGCATGCAACGTGAGATGACGACAGTGAACAGGGGCGCTGAGCTCTTCACTGTTTCTGTGAAGCTCACAGCCACAAACTTCAGGGAGACAAGGCTCAGGACAACTGTGGCGAACCTGGTGGAACACACAGCAAATTATGCAGATCACCATGCATCTCACATGCACAAAGCAGATGCACCAGACAATAAATGTCCACCCCGCATTCCATCAATTTGATGTTACTCCATTGTTTGCATGCCAGCCATGAAAGAGTAGGTGGGTGAAGCACACTGCAGGATGTAATGTAATTCACCATTATGACAAAATGAGAAACATGATCAAATGGTGCCATGGAGATAAATGCAATGAAAACAAGAAACTGGAAATAAGTACCTCAGGATGCCTACGACTAGCATGTTCAACAAGAAACTTGGTGACCTGATGCTTCTGGAAGACTGTGTTGTAAAAAGTGAAGTCACATTCAGCTGAATAAAGCCACAGACTGTAGTGACCAGCAGCTGGCATACGCCTGAAACAAAAACATGGTTTGCACCTGTGCAAAATAGCCTAATGGACAAGTGTTCCAGGTATGTCTATTTAATGAATGATCAATGATGTTTTGGTTAAAATAGCCACTTCCGAAAAAACATAGGTACCTTTGCTGACAGAGCATTGCAAAATAACAGAAACCACATGACATGGCCCTAAATCATGCAGAGTACGGGTTGGTATGAACTTAGCAGGTAACCAGAAAGTGAGAACTCAAGTGGAAGTTATGTCTTCCATGATAGAGATGATGCACATACCGAATGACTGTAAATAGTCTACACAGTTTGGGAATCAATGAATACCTCACAAACCATGGGGTCATGACTTGCCATGATATGAAACATGACATGAAATGTCTTAAACAAACAAAAAACACAAGAAGCTTAGAAAAGCTTAAAGCAGCAAGGTATGTTTACAATGATTATGATAGCAAAGTCAAATTTGAAACATCATGATATAAGCACCTTACATGCTATCAGGATGAAAGCAAATAACAAAACCCATGGGAATATGACTTGCACTATACATAGATTCAAACACAAGACATGATGCAACAGATGCACATTACCTAATACAGTTGGATCTCCATTCAAGTAACTGAGAATGTACTTGTTTAAGAACAGGGTACATCCTGAAAATATGTACCAAAGGCACAGAACTGTGATGCCCCCAATGCTTAGAAAACCCTTTTGCCTGTGCTCAGCACCATCTGTTAGGTCCTTGGAATGTGTAGGTAGCAAGGATACCCTACTTTCTTCTTTGCCATCCATAACCTGAAACAAAGTGGTTGAGCTCATTGCTGTGTTATCTTCCAAAGAGCTCTGGCAATCATTTTTATACAGAATAAATACATCACTCTTATACATAGCACAGGCAGGCACCACTTATAAGTAATTGTGTGGGAAATGTTCCCTTGCAAATTTGTGCACTTTCAAATCTTGCTCCTTACTGAAACATTAAGTCACACAATGCTTCAGCCACCACAGCCCCCTGTGAAATACAAACAAAATCAGACCACCACATACCTATTTGACCAGGTACTTTGCTTCGTTCGGTCAACAATGCTCTACCCAGATGCAAGCTCCATTGCAGAGCCTAATCAGCAGCACGCCGCTGACGAGTTTTAGGACCAGCAAGGCTAGTACGTCGTGGCGTACCCAACCACGTGAAATTTTTCAGGAAAAGAGGAGCAATCATGCAAATAAGGCCACCATTTGGCTATTGAGGACAGCTTCACTCCAGCAATTCACAGCATCTCCATACGGCTCCCGAGCATCACGATGCCCATAACAATAGACTGGCTATTGCCACTTGTCGCCGCGAGCGTCATAAGCGACCCGGGGAAAGCCAAGCGAGGGCATATTGATCACGAACGCACATACTGGCATGAGACTGACTGAAAATGACGTTGATAGATATAAGGCCTTCTGACAAATATTTTTCCAAGACACAACGCGGAATAGACCGCGTATCTGCAACGTGAGTTTATAACACGGTGATATAGTTCACTTTTTGTCCAGAAACATCACCAGGAGGAGCGCATCGGGGAGTGAATGCACGGGCAGAGGACTTAATATTAATGTCCTGAACCCGTTTGGAGTGAGATCAAGCTGTGATGATAAACATTTCGTGCAGATACGTTGCATGTTATTTAGTGTTTTTTGTTTTGGTGATTTGCAGCTTGAAAGCGGTTTCTAAGTATATTAATGCACATGCTTCCAACTTGACGTCATATACGTCGCTACCACGTCCGCCTATATTTGTTCTGCCCCCCCCCCCCCCCGCAGGCAAACATACCTCTGATGAGATGATGATACATAAAAGCGCGTTCTAAGCTGCGTATATAGCTGAGAACCAAAAAATTGAATATCTTAATACTTTATAGATACCTTTTACTAAAAAATTTGGGTCCAGTATTCGAAACAGAGGTCAATACAAAACATCTTGATAGCAATTCATTCATGGACACTTGAGGCAGTGCTGACGCAGCAGAAATGTTGGGATTTTCTTGCGCTGCGTCCGGAAGTGCAACAGGAGTCCGTGAGCCGCCAGTGTTCGGGGGATTGCATTGCGCGTGGTTATGTGGAACCTCGTCGTCTGCAAGATCTGTGTTTGTTGAAGGTACGTATTGATCTGTCACCTTGCCAGTGGTGAGCACTACGTACCATTTGTGCTTTTAGGAATTTCGGCACCGCCGGCATAGGCCTCTTACTCAGTAGCAGTAACAATCCGTATCAGTTAAAACTGGCAAAATCATACGATAATGTTACTAGTACATGCACGGGACATTCTTGAATTCCTCTGACGTTTCTATATAACCTTGTGCCTTATACATTGTCAATTAATGACACTGTCCGTCACTTTTTTGCTAACCCAGTTTCCACGATGTCGCTGCCGTAGGCCTCACACTTCCTAAAACGTCCTGAATCAATTAAATCTAGCAGGCAAACCATACAACAATGGTATCAGAAGATGTACCACACATTTATGAATGCCTCACTTGTTCACCAGAGGTGCTGTACCATTAGACGTACCTGAACACCTCCAACGCTGAAAGACCGTCCGCTGTTCCATATGATGTTAAGGTATGCGTGATTTGTTGAGGGGCGCGGACGAGTCCATGAACCTTGCCCATGTTTTTTCCAGGCCCTTTTTCACGGATTTTTTATGCTTTATTATGTGCTCATGAATTCAAAATGCTATAAGAAAAAAGTCTCCAGCTTCTGGATTTTTGTTGTTAAAAATTAAAAATTCTCACATTGGGTTAACGATGTTTAATATACCGGGTAGTGCTGGCTAAACGAAGTTGTGGCGCTAAACGCCTATTACATTGACATAATATTTCGCATCTTTTAAAGATGAGCATAGGTCATCAGTTCCACGGTCCAAATGTAAAATTCCGTATGCTCATTTCTGGCCATTGTGGGTTCTATGTCATTTGGTTCGTCTCTTCGTGCTGAGCTCGATATTTAAACCAATAGATGAAATTTTCAAAAACTTTAAGCTGGAAGAAGGGGCTAAAAATTCGTGAACATTTCCATTGATTGTTTATATAACCGAAATAAGCATGGAGAGATAAATCAGCTGACACAAAAACGCAAAATGGTAAAAAATTAGCAGATGAGGTTTTACTGTTCGACGCCCACCTGCTGCAGGTGGGCATTAGCATCTCAGTGGTGCTTCATCATAAAGGTATGATAGCTTCCGAAAACATGATAACATAAATTTATCTTTTTTGGCCCAAGCAGGGATCTTTTGCGCAACAAAAAATTGACTCCATGGACGAAATCCTGGATCATCCCTTTCGGCGAAAGGACACCAAAGCCTTCATTTCGGCGGACCACATCTTTTTCGAGAGTGACCTATTCAAACGGGACCTGCTTTTATTTCTAAGGGGAGCCGTGATGTATTTCTTTCCTACCCTGTCCAAACCCTGGATCAACCCGTACGATGCAGGGGCACATAAGGCATTCATTGCGGAAAAGCAATTTTATTTTAAGAGGCGCCCGATTCCAGGGGCATCTCAGAGGGCCCCAAAAGGTCGATTTTCATGAGACAACAATCCCAAGGGAGCAGCACAATGTTCGAACGTTTTCATTGCCTAAGTCCGGGATCGGCTTATTCGGCCATGGGTCACCAACGCTTTTTTGGCACCATAACTTTATTTTCAAGAGGCACCGTAGCCCAACGTATCAATCAAATGACCCGACATCTTCATCCTCAAGGAGCAACAAAATCAGGGACAACACAACTTGTGGGTTACAGCCTGGCGGCATTCTAGGTCGACCCTTTCGGCGAAGAGATACAAAAAACCTTAAATTTCGGGTATCATATCCTGCACTTTGAACAGACACCCAATTATAGGCACGCAATACAAAGTGCCCCAAAACACTCAATTTAAAGTGACGTAAAGTTCAGCGGCAACCAAAAAATTTCTCTTTTTTCACGAGGAACCAGGGGCGCCATCATTGGGGGGGAGGGGGAGGGGCACGTGGCCAACATTACAGAATTCGGTCCCGAGGGGTCGACGCTCAAGGGTACCATCGCAGGGCCCGAGAGGCAGGCCGGGGCAAATGATGAGACCCCAATCAGAAGGCGGTACTCCCAAAAGTCAGTCGGAGGGCGTCTTAGGCCGATGGGGGGGGAGGGGGGGGGGGGGGGGGACAGTGAGAGCCTCTATGTCAGTCAGGTGAACGAGACCACCAATACCAAGCAGTGGGCTTTCCACCGGTCTGGGCCCTGAGACCCCTTTCCCAAGTTGGCTCAGGGCCTGGGCCTGCAAATAATAAGCCAAAAGTTTTTGTATGACTTTGGTCCCCAAGACAGTGGAGGGTCGGTGTGCTGATCAGGGGCTCACAGTGCTCGACAGGGATAACCGTACCGGCAATGAGCCTGACGTCAACCAGGGGCATATTTGCTGAACAGGGACACGTGACGTGGCGTTCACGTGATCCAAGGTCACAAGGTCAAGGAGACAAAATTTTCACAAAACAGAAGTCTGGACAATGAAGGAATTCTCGCTTTAGTCTCAAATACAGCAATGTGTGTGTGCTGGATCGCTTCTATGACTGCACGAGATGCGAGTCATTAAAATATGTAACCCGCAGTCACGGCTTCCCCCAATACCCCAGGTCGAAGCTCCGAAAGCAGACGCCGAATTGAGCTGAAAATGGCATAGGTCAATTGCGTGCACCATATATCCCACAGGCGAGCATATACCAAAGAATGAGGGCTCAGCTATATATATATATATATATATATATATATATATATTATAACATATATCCTCCTCTCGTATATATATATATATATATATATATATATATATCCTCTCGCATATATATATATATATTATATATATATATATATATATATATATATATATATATATATATCTATATCTATATCTATATCTATATCTATATATATCGTGAAACCGAATAAAGTGCATTGTCCCACCAACAGTGATGGTACAGAAAGCAATTTAACTTTCATGTTTCAATTCAGTCTGTGATAAAAAGACTGAGACATCGCTCTTGAATGTCCCAAAATAGGGCTCGCACGTACAACTTATACGCAAGAAATCTTTACACTTTTAGGCCATCCAAATATACAGGAGTTTGCGAAGGCATAATTCCCTCAATATCATCGGGGTACTGCAAGTGCACAAAGTGTCAATATATGAGGACCACCGCATTCCAAAACAGTGTTTTGGGAGGGGGGTACACAACTAATCCCATTGCGCTGTTCAAAGCAGCGTAATGAGGTGAGTTAATATGTTTTGCTTTCGTTTGACATGGTTCTTCCCTAGATACGCTAATCGTAATGCTGGTAGGAACTTTTTGTTTGCGTTATGTTTTGGCATGCTTACCTCTTGGTCGTGTTTGTTGGGCTCAAAAGCGCAGAGCTTTGATTTGTAGCCACCAAAAAGATGCTTCGTATATTTAGCCAACTCCTCTCCCAGCTGATGACAAGACTTTGCCATTGGCAAAGTGCGATTACATGGCCCAGCCGAAGCTACCGGGGGAGTTACGACCTCAGCGGCGCGCACAGAGCGGGCAGGTGATGAACGTGACACAGGCCGCTACTGGACCGTTCCCTGGCACCACTAAAGGGAGGAATACGGCCAAATGTGGCATTCATGCAAGACCTACACAGCTACCGTCAGTAAAACACAGATGCCGGAGTGTAACGACGGATTCCTGATGTGTTTGTGCGTCGGAAATTCCCGGACCACGGCCCCGAGTTGCATGTCCAATAGGTCGGCACTTCGCCCGTTTATTACGAGCGTTTTCCCGAAATCTTTGGCCGCAGCAGATGAGCCCATGACTGTTCCTGGCGTCGAAGCCGGTCCTGAAGCGGCGCCAGAGCCGATCCTGCAGCGACGCCGGAGTCGGTCCTACAGCGACGCCAGAGCCGGTCCTGCAGCGGGGCCAGAGCCGGTCCTGCAGCGGCGCCAGCTGGCAACCGACGCCGACTCATCGCGGGCCGCAGCCCTCTGGGGTATGACCGGTCTTCCGCGCCCACGTCTCACAGACGTAGAACAGGAGGTCGGCGAGCATGGCCGCCTGGCCGTCCTGGCTGCCGTCCAGCGTGATTGTCGGCACGGACGTCAGCGGCGGCTGTAGAGCCTGCGTGCGCCGGCCGAACTCAAGCTCTTTCTCCAGGGAGACGTCCGAGACGGCGCACCGGCTCACCGTCTCCCAGTCGAGCCCAGCTGCGCGCACGCAGCCGGGCGCCGTCGCGTTCAGTGTCTCGTAGTCGGCCATCAGGCAAGTGACCGCTTCCAGCCGAGCGTCCGTGGTGCGCGTGTCGTAGATGACGCACGCGTGCAGCCGGTTACCCCAGCACTCCTCGGGGCCGTGCTGGCACGTGACGCTGGGGCCGGCGTCCGTGGCGTTCGCCGTCGCCTTGCCCCAGGGCACGAAGCTCGGTGCCAGGACAGCGGCGCCGACGCGGCGCCAGGCCGGCGCCAGCTGTTCGACGACGAAGTGGCGCGAGTCGGGACACAGGGCCTCGTAGTAGACGACCACGTCCAGGGGCGGAGCCGGCGGCGTCTGCGCCGGGGCCGGGCCGACGGTGGCCAATAGGATGGCAAGCGGCAGCAGCATGACACCGGTCGACGGATATACGGCTGGGATGAGCCGAACAACTACTTATATCGATGCCCGCCGACGAACAGGTGCGGCGGTCCCACGCGATAATCAGTGGGATTCCGCGCGTCGCACGCGAGGAGGCGCCTCGCCGGTCACCCTGTCCGCGTGGCCAGCTGCCCCGGCTGGCGGCCGTGGCGCACACCGGGCTGAGGACGGCGACCGAGTCGGCCCGGTGCCCTCGCCTGGCTCGGCTCCCGGCCACATTCCCGCAGAGCACTGCTGGGCCGTCGGTGGTGCCGCCTGTGCCGCTCTCGGGGGCAGCACAGCGACGGTGAAGGTGTCGCCGCTGCCTTCAGCGGGCGCTGGGCGGGGCCGGCGTGCTGGCGTGGAGAAAATCCTGCTGCGAGACGCCATACAGCGACGAAATCAAATCACACAATCACACAGAGTCGCACACCTTACCACCAGCACCAACACCACGAGCACCGACGACGCACACCTTACTGGTGCGTTGGCTGGTGCAGCGCCACTCTAATTCAACGGTACTGCGATGCAATTCTTCGCGATAACTAAGCAGAGGAAGCGTACCACGTGGGCCAATGATAAGACAAAGAGCCTCTCGCCAACACCGATTGTCACCAGCGTGAGCGTGAATGAACAAGGTCTTCATTTATACACGCATGCTACCGGCTACAGTGTTATATTATTACGATTTGTGTTGCAATAATGTAAACGTGGCGTAGGCCTTAAAGGTTCCAGCCTAGCGTTTCAGGATGTAAGGCGAGATCGAAAGTTATCATTACTTAGATCCTGCATTGCTGAAATAGTGTCGCACGAGTGAAGATGCAATGTAGCCTATTCAGGACACTGTTCATGTCATTTGAATTACTAGAATTATTGCTTTGCCTTATCACTAGTGCAATGCCCAAAAGCAAAGCTGTAAGGACAGGTAAGAATAAGCAGTAATTATTGGCTGTAAACTAAGACAGTATGGCGCAAGTAGCTCGTACAATCATCAAGGACACCGAATAGGTAGTTTTTTTCTGAGGAAAGGCTGATGACTATATGGGCAATGTTGTAGGGCCAACGCAAAAGCCGACATCAATATAGGACCAGCGCTCAGCTGTCCCACACATTGATCCAGGTCTTTATTAATGCTGGGAAAAAACTGCGACTCCTCGACAGGCGAGCGCCAGCGTGGCGATCTGTCATGGGGCCCAGCTGCCGGGTGACGCAGTACAGCCTGCGCCTCATGGCTTGTGGAGCCAGCGCCAGTGTGGCGATCTGTCATGGGGCCCAGCTGCCGGGTGGCGCAGCACAGCCCGCGCCTCATGGCTTGTGGAGCCAGCGCGGGCGATTAGACCACGACACCTCCTCCGAGCACCTCCTGGAAGGCGCAGCCTTCTAAGGCTTCTAAAATTGGGCTCCAATGTGGGGAGAAATATTAGTGTCCTGACACTAGGTCTGCGCCTGTCTCCGAGATTCGAACTCAGGGTCACAGCACGCGCGTTGGCTCCAACTTTGACTCCGCGCACCACAATGCATACACGCGTTGCACATTGATCGAGATAGGTAACCCGAGTATACCGAGATAGGTAATAGGCAATTGTATATGTAATACTATGCAGGCTGGTCTAAACTGTGTTTGCTAATGTGGCAACTACATAACGCAAAGTCATGCTGCGTTGGGCGTCACGCGCATACCCGATGAAACCAATGCATTAATGCTCTTCTGGAATAGGGCTGAAGATGAGTGCCCTGCTGTGCCAAGTTATTAGTACGTTTATTGCGCCGGTGCGCGGTCAATCGCTCCATCTGGCGCATCACACTATGAGCTCGTGTGTAGTTCAAATCGACAGGCCTTATCGATGTGTCGTCATCCGGCAATCGCGGGGATGCCGGGCCGCAGAGCTGAGTCAGGTCGCCGATCCCCGGGCGTCGGAGCCGCCGGCCTGACCGGCAGGTCCGGGGCTTATCAAGGCGCGCGACCGCCCATCGTCCCTGGGCACGCACTGCTCGGAGTCACCAGCGTCTGTCAGGCGCCGACCGCGTGCACCTGTTGACACGTGCCGGGTCTGGCGAAGACGAAGACGAAGACGAAGAAGACGGGCTGGTGGCGGCGACAGGAAGGCCTGGCTGCTCGCACCCGCCGGGATCCGTCCAGCCGTGCCAGCAGCGCGATCGGCCAGCGGACAGCACCCCTGGGGCGGCCACGGCCGTGTCGGTAACCTCGTCATGACCTGGCGACCGTCCTCACGGCCGCGGCGGGGGCCGGAATGCTCTAAGTTTCGATAGCACGAGCGCACACAATCCACGTCACTTACGTCGCTATAAATGCATTTCCAGCTCGCCGGATCGGCAATTTTACGAGATCCGATGGTTCATGGCTTATGGATCCGATATCCTACGGATCCAATACTGCTGTTGTGGCGGCCCTGAGGCGTCGTCATCGGAGCGTGACTGACACGGTTTGATTCTGTGGCATCATTCTGTACGACAGCCGGGGGTTTTCAACGCCGGCTGGGAGGTGTCGGTGAGTTGGCGCTGGTAGGGACATATCGTTACAGTAGTTTAGTGTTTGTTTTGTGCCTGCTTGTGTTACTGTATATCAACTAATTTTAATAATTTATTTGTCGTAAAATATATATTAATAATTTATGTGTAAAATAATATATATATATATATATATATATATACATACATACATACATACATACATACATACATACATATAAACTTCCGAGGGTGTAATCAGGCGTCCCTGATTTACACCGGCCCTATTTGCAATTGGTTGCATGGTTGAAGTAATGCGACAGATCTTGATTGAAAGGGCAATGGACTGTTTGTAATTGTGAACGAGTGAGGACTTGTTCACACTAAAAGGTAATGGCTTGAAAGGTAAAACTAGGCTTGAAGCATGCCCAGACAGACATTCAAGCGTTTACAGGCACGCACTTTGCTGTTTTTGTCTTCCAAATAATCCATATATATCGATGTTCATCAATGACCGCTAGAGACTGCCTGTCAGCCGTACCAAATTACCACTTGCCCCACATCGCTAAGCCGGGTGGGAAATTCAAGAGGAAGCGTCTTTTGGTGCGCTGTGCAACGCAGTGCAGTACGCAGTGCAGAAGTGTCACACAGTTGCTGTCAAAACTAAGCTCTGCTCCCTCGGTCCGGTCTAAATGTCGTGAACAAGTATTTGTAGGCCCTTATTACCAGCACGCAGCGATGCACTTTCACAAAATAAGTTTGAGGTGGGAAGGGGTGAACAGCGAAAATTGATTAACCTACGCTAAAATGCGTTAATAAATGGTTTCCACCCCGGTTTTGTCTAATTTCTTCTCACAGTTGAGGGAAGGGACTTGAACCCCCCCCCCCCCATCTGTATGGGAAACTACGCCCCTGCCGGAACGGCTTCCTATAGCGGCGTGTGACAACACGTCAACTGTCCTTGCAAATGGCTGATATGTATTGATCTTGTCCCCGGTCGTCAGTTGCCTGACTGGCCGTGAATGATGCATGTCATCGATTCAGCTCCCAGCACGCAAGCATTTTCGCCGCGAGCAGCACATGCCAGCTCCGGCCGTTAGCAGCTGTGTCAGGTGCAGCACTACTCCCGCAAACCACCTGTGGGAACGCAGCTGTCTGATAACTTATTGGCAATGCTGCCACCTCTCAGCGAAACGCATCGGTTCGCTCAGGCCCGGGGAGGAACGGAAGAGCCAGCCGACCCCCGGCGCCGCGTGCTCTGAGCGGTGCCCGGCGTCGCGGCGGGAGGCCCGCGCCGGGGGCGGAGAGTCCGCGCGCGCTGCTCGCCGGAAGGCAGCGCCGCTGGCTGGCAGATACGGCCGACGGGCGCCGCGCAGGTCGGCCGGCAGCGCCGATAGCCGGGCGTCGGCGGACCGGGCGCGGCGGCCGGGTCAGGCGCACACTGATCAGTGTCGGCGCGGGCGAGATCCGCCGTGTGCTGCACCTTTATCGTGCGACGACAGGGCAACGCCGTCGCTCGTTCGCGGATTGCACTCGGCCGGGTCTGCCTGTGGAGAGCACAGTTCGCGTGACGTCACAGACGTCACACCGGCTCTTTACAGGGCGGCCGTCGGCTGGCCGGCGCCGCGCGGCACGCCATGGCCCCCTGACACCGATGGCGTACCAGCGAGATGTCCTGCGCCTGTTCGCCGGCTCGTGCGCCTGTGGCTTCCTGCTCGGCCTGTTGTGGGGAGGGCCGACGGCACCACGGCCGCCGCCGCCGCCGCCGCTGCTCCCCGCTGGAGACTTGGCCGGGCTGTACCCCGGCTGGCTGCGGCGGCAAGGACTGGCGCGCGCGCTGCGGCCGCCCGGCGCGCCATCCGAGGCGGCCGCGCTAGCGGCGCGCGTCACCGTGTTCTGCGCGCTGCGTCACGACGGGGCGGCGCAGGGTGCGGTGGCGGCGCGGCGCACCTGGCTCCGCCACTGCGCCGACGCCGTGGAGTACGGCCGTCGCGCAGCAGACTCGGTGACGGGCGAGACACCGGCCGGCCCAGCGCGACTGCTTCACCTGCTGCGTCAGCTGCGCCAGCCGCTGGCTGGCCACCATTGGCTGCTGCTGGCCTCCGACAGCAACTTCGTGCTGCTGGAGAGCCTGCGCCGGCTGCTGGCGCCGCTGACGCCGACCGAGCCGCACTACCTGGGCCACCCGGGGCGCGTCGGCGGCCGGCTGGTGAACCTGGCCGCCGCCGGCGTCGTGCTCAGCGTCGGCACGCTTCGGCTGGTCTGGGAGGCCGACCGGCTGGGACGCTTCGACGACCTCGACCCGAGCCAGAGCGAGGAGGTCGCGCTCGGTGAGGCTGCCTGGCCCGCCGGCCGCGCACGTGACCGCTGAGGTGTGAGATGACGCAGCGCAGGCGCCCCGCCGCGCCACGCGTCGAGCGGTGGTCGCGCCAAACGCCGCTAGTTCGGATAATATAATCAGGTTTCTGATCACAGGCAGAATGGCTGATGGCTCACGTATCACCTGCGTAATATCCGATGCCCGTGTGTTATGCGGGTATGCGTGGGATTCGGCAGAGTGTCGCGTAAAGCAGAATATGTGTGCCTCACCAGCGACGTGTCAGGTGTCATGCACATATTGCGAGTCGGGTCACATGACATCTGCAAGATGTTACTTTTCACGCCACATAGGAGCTCTTCATGGCTCGTCGACATGCCACTAGTTCTCGCCCGACACGACGTTCTCACTGCCGCGATGTTCTCAGACCGTCCTCACGTGGTGTGCGGCTCCCAGGTGACATGATGTCGGTGCTGGCGATCGCACCACGTGACACGCGAGACGCCGGCGGCCGGCCGCGCTTCCTGCCGCTGCCGCCCAGCGCGCTCTACCTGCCATCGGCGCGGCGTCGGTTCCAGTCGTTCTGGCGCGACAGCGTGTACCCGCTGACGGAAGTGAGACTTCGCCGCATCGGGCGCGCGTTCGGTGGACGGCAGGCAGACTCCGACGGAGGTCGGGGAGACTTCTGCCCCGGTGCAGTATGATTCGCACTGAACTCAGTTTTGAGCCAGCCGAGTATAGAGCGGAGGCGGGAAAGGGCGGCCTATCCCAGGAAGGACATCAGTTGTGTGCTTTCAACTCCATATGACACATGTGACGACTGTTGGAAACCTTGACATCGGGGTCCTTACCTCAACTGTGAGGCATTTCCCCTTCGGCTCATAAGCAGTTCACTAAGTGATCCGAGGAACCCTGCGGCACGCAGCACATTCCCGCGTGTAGACGTTCACCGACCGCGGTAAGTCTCTGTGGACCGAGTCGTGGCGCCCTTGGCCGGCGTCTGACCGTAGCGAGTCTCTGTGGACCGAGTCGTGGTGCCCTTGGCCAGCGTCTGGCCGTAGTGAGTCGCTGTGGACCGAGTCGTGGCGCCCCTGGCCGGCGTCTGGCCGTAGCGAGTCTCTGTGGACTGAGTCGTGGCGCCCCTGGCCGGCGTCTGACCGTAGCGAGTCCCTGTAGAACGAGTCGTGGCGCCCTTGGCCAGCATCTGACCGTAGTGAGTCCCTGTGGAACGAGTCGTGGTGCCCTTGCCCAGCGTCTGGCCGTAGTGAGTCTCTGTGGACCGAGTCGTGGCGCCCTTGGCCAGCGTCTGGCCGTAGTGAGTCTCTGTGGACCGAGTCGTGGCGCCCCTGGCCGGCGTCTGATCGCGGCGGGCGTCGTTGACGTCCCCCTCCCTGGCCGCAGGAGCGGCTCTGCTGCAGCCCGGAGGCGGTAACGTTCGGCCGGGTGGCCTGGACCCGCATGTACCTGCTCGAGTACATGGTGCACCACGTGACCACAGACGGCCGGCGGCGCCGCATCGGCGGTAGTAACAACGGCACCTCTGCAGAGAGATCAGCGCCTTCGGATCGCGGCAGCGGTCTGGTCGGCCCGGCCGAGAGTGAGGCTTCGGCTGGTGCAGCCCTCTGACCAGGCGACTTTTGGGACACGTTGTCGCAGCCAGACCATCCGCCGTGTGTGCTTGGTCGGGCTCACCGTCTGGTGGACGTGGCTTTACTGAGATTAGGGGCAGGGCTTGCAATGCAATCGATGGGTACACTTTGTCTTACTCGCTAGTCGTTTAGAAGTGAACAACCGAGTGCACCAGCGCATAGACTTTGACTAGCTGGCGGCACCCGTTACTGGCAAGCGCTTCCAGCAGCTCTTGCTGTTTCACGCCGACTATGTGGGGCTCGTCGACAAGCGTCGACCGCGATCTGGCCGTGGGACATGACACGACTGTGCGCGACGTGACGGGCTGTGCGGACATGACTGAACGGCCCTTTTCGTAATCAAGGTATAATGATCTTCCATAACCATTCATTAGAGGGCGTACCTCTCCCCAGCCCTGGCAGCCTGTTGCCGTGCTAAACCAGAATAGCATTGCCTTTTTGCTCGTACTATTCTCTAGTCTGTGCAATAAATAGGGGTTTCGACACTACTGATATCAGTCTATCTGCGCAGTACGCAGGGTTTTCGACGCCACTAACATGAGTCTCAGTTATATCGCCAATCCCCGTCGCATGAAATACATTTCCGGTGTAAGCACGTCCCGTGATATTATTGGTCACGTGACAGAGGAGAAAACCAAACGAACCCACCGTACTTAGGGCTGCAACGCGCCTCGAACAGTCCAGCGCGTTTGCGGCAATGTTGCTTGTTGGTCGCTGTTGCCCCACCGCAAGTCGCGAGGTCGGATGGAAGAGTACGCGCCCTCACGGGACATGCTCTCTCGCTCGTCGTGCGCTGCGGTGGCGAGGACGACGGTCCAGTGCTGAGTGCCAATACACTGTTCATTCCGGGATGTGTAACTCCAGAACGCCATTCTCCATATCAATCCTAGGTGGTGGCATGATTCCAAAGGCGGCGAATTCAGCAGACATACTAGATGGGAAGCTTCCCTTCCCACAGGTGGTTTATGGATCACGATGAGCAGGAAATGCCACACGAGATCTCTGCATACATAAGAGTCAAGGCAACTCGCCACGCCTCGCCTCGCCTGAGCCGAATCCAGCACGCGCGGCATTCGATATCGCAGAGAAGCCCGCGGCAGACCGCTCGGCGCGACACCTAGCGGTCCGACCGTCGGCGCGGACGGCCAGCACACGTCATCACTGTTCACCAAGCGCCGCTCGACCGCGGTACAGACCGCGCGTGTCGGCGCCGGTACACCTGAGACAAGCAACTATTCAGGGTGGTTTGCGGCGGTCGCGGCCAGCGTCGCCAACGACTGCGTTGTGCGTTAAACCTTGGCATGGAGGTTACCGCCAGACCCGAGTCCGCCCTCTGGTCGCCACCCCAAGGCTCTGAGGCCGTCGCCGGGACGTCTGCCGCCCCGGGGCACCGTGCCGCTCACTGCGGGGGCGGCTGTGACAGCGGCGTCTGCTGCTGTTCCTCCATGCCGGGGATCTCGTCCAGGTTGAGGTGGGTGATGAAGCGCAGGCGCAGCTGCAGCGCCGGCCTGAGGGCTCGGATCACCCGCTCCGCCTCGGCCTTGGTCGAGTCGCCCGTGTGCATGTACTTGATGTGGTAGAGCATGTCGCTGATCTGGTCCATGTAGCGCAGCTCGGTGCTGGCCTTGTCCACCTCCTCGAGCGTCTCGTACAGCGTCTTGGTGAGCTCGAACACGGAGCTCGTGTTGAGCCGCTCCAGGAACGGCGCCACCAGGTGGCACACGTACACAAACTGCACCTCGGAGCGGACCAGCTCGCGTAGCCGGGCGCGCAGCACGGCCAGCAGCGCCGCGATCTGGCCCTGCGTGGCGTGATTCCAGAAGGCGTGCGAGATGGCCAGCAGCAGCAGCGGCTCGCCGCACTGGCACACGGCCAGCCGCGACTCCAGGCGCAGCTCCTCGAACACGTCGGCGTCGGGCGGCAGCGCGGCCAGCGCGGCCAGCAGCCGCTCGGTCAGCGCACGCCAGTACGGCTCGGGCAGCCAGGTCAGCAGCAGGCCGACGGCGTTGAGCCAGGCGGGCAGCTGGTCGCGCGGCAGGGCCACGTACCCGCTGACGATGACTTCCAGCAGCGCGGCCACCGCCTCGGCCGGCGGCACCGGCACCGCCATCACCTCCAGGCAGGTGCAGTGCAGCGCGTGCGCGCTGGCGTTGGGGAACTCGTTGAAGCGCCACTCGAGGTTGGGGAAGACGGGCCGGTCGGCAAGCGCGTCCACCAGCCGCTGCAGCAGCCGGTAGTAGTAGTCGAGCTGCGGCCGCCACGGCTCGTCGGTGTCGCCCGCCGGCGAGGCCAGATACGCCTCGAACTCTTCCGTCAGACACCAGCCCTTGGGCTTGACGTCCGCCTGCGAGTCGATGATGACCGTCACTAGCTTGCGTTTGATCTGCGGCCATTCGGAGAGCGGTTTCTCGTAGTAGTGCAGCGTGTTGTACAGGAAGGTGACGGGCCGGTCTGCCGGGGAGAAGGGAGTCAGGCGCAGGCACGAGCTGACGGCAAGGCCAAGCACGCCAGCGGTGGCCGCGCCACCCGACCGAGGCAGCTGGTGGGGTCGAAAACACGCGGCGCAGCGCAATCGCCTGACAGGCTCCGGTCCCCGCCGTGCCCGAGCAGCCCCTATCAAGTGACGTAGGCCGCGCTCCGTCGCACAGTGAGGCCAGTGCCGTCACGACGCGCCACACAGTAAGGGGGAAGGGGGGGGGGGGCTGCCCACCGCGGCTGGACAAATGGTCTCACCATGGAACTTGTACAGGCTGCCCATCTGGTCCAGGATGAGGCCGATGGCGTCACCCTGCGGACACTCCAGGATCCTCTGGATCAAAATGTCGAACACCTGCAGACCGGGAGACACAGGTCAGCTCACCTGTCCACAGCCGACGGCCCGACCCTGCACGGACCATCAGGTCAGCTCGGGCCACCAGGTCAGAACCGACCGTCGGGCATGCCACACTGCAGAGATCGTTGGACCACTGTTCGGGTCGCCAGGTCACGGCCTGCTATCAGGCATGGGTCAGCCTCCACAGGTCGCAACCGGCCGGCATTTGCAGACCAGGCCATCAGGTCACAATTGTCTTTCATCACGGCTCTGTCCGTGAGGTCACACCTGTCTCTATTCTCGGCGAGTGCTCGGCCATTCTGTGCCTCTCGCCCATATACTTGTTTCATAATCCGCAGGCAAAGCAAACATTGAGCAATGGACTGGGCATTTCCAATGTCCAGATCCAACGGCTGACTAAGCCGCCGTCTTGGTTGCGTGTCTTACGTCGTGACAGCGAGGGATGAGACCGTAGCAGTAAAAAAAGAAAGCTAGAATGTCATCTGTGCCCACTGGAGCTCATCTCCCGCAGCGAGCGCCTCATAGGTCGGGGCGCCGCTCGGAGCTGACGCACCGGTAGAAAGCGGAAGCAGATGTTGCTGAAGTAGACCGGCAGGCTCTGGTACGCCTGAGCCGTCTTGCTCTGCTGCTCCGCCAGCACGTCCTCGGGCGCGAACCGCTCGGGGAAGGCCTGATGGAACGCCAGGTGCTTCTCGTGCCTGGTGACACGGCCGACCGCTGAGCACCACTCTCCGGGCGGGGACGAGACGCAGCGAGACAGCAGGCGCCCGGTCAGTCACAGCTCACCACACGGCGCAGGCGTACAGACGGGCGCCGAGGGCGACGCTGGTGTGGCCGGACGCTGGTTATCGTGACCACGGCACCGCGCGCGGCGCGTCAAATCGCTGGCTTTCGTGAAAACCGTCCCACGTCATCATGGTATCAGTGGGCAGCAGCATGTGACTCGCCGGCGTCCTCCGCCGGTGGCCGCCGCGGCGGGAGAAGTCGACTGTCCGGCTCTGGACGCGCCGGGTCCGTCTGACGGCTCGGGAAGGCCGGCCGCACAGACGGCCCACTCACCAGTTGTCCTGCTGCCAGTGGCGCGGGTCGTTCTCCGAGACGAACTTCTTGATGCGCTCGATGAACTCGGAAGGCGGCGTGAGCACCAGCATCTGGATCAGGAAGAAGCAGACGCGCAGCTCGTTGGGCTCGTTGGGTCGCAACACCTGCGGCAGGCGAATGGTCAGTGCGCGCGCCCCTCGCCGGCGGACCGGCATGACCCCACCGCGCGTCACCGCACGGCACGCGCCCCGTAGCGCGCCGCACGCCAGCCGAGCTATCACATCTGCGGCCTCCGTGCCAGACGGCACGCACGGTTGGACTGTCGAGTTCACATGAGCATGCGCGTTCACCACCACAAAAGCCTGTCTTGCGAACAGCCGGGGCAGATGTGGCCGATACGGCACTCGAAAGCTCGCGTGCCTTCCCAAATCAGGCCCGAGCTCGTCGTCGCGCATGGGCTGGTCTGTCTTCTCGCCCGGCCGCACCAGGCCGCCAGACGGGACGTGACCTCACCAGGCACAGGATGAGCCGGTCGACGGTGATGACGTTGTACGTCCAGATGAGCTTATGCACGCCGTCCACGCACTTCTTCAAGTAGCCGCCGTCTGGAGAGTTGCTGAACACGTGGATGAGGTAGTCACAGAAGGTGCGCAAGTGGACGGTCAGCGCCTTGGGCCCGCCGCGCTCCAGTACCCTGCGCCAGCGCCGAAGTCAGGTCAGGTCAGGTCACGACAGGACCGAGCCAACCATCCCACAGGCCGCGGCAGACCGGGCTTCTGGCCTCTGCCGCACACACCGCGAGGGGCAGCGGCCGGTGGGGTCCGCTCATGTTAAGATGGCGGGTCGACGGTACAGCCGACACCGGAGGACGCACGCGACGCCGACCCTACCGCCGGCAGCGACCGTAGCTTTGGCGACAGCTGCACGAGTACATGCGCACCACATCTAGCTGTGTACGCCAGCGGACTGTGCGAGAGTTACCAGTGGACCTGCGTACTTCGGTGTGGTGGAAACCAGTAGCGAGTCGGTAGCCGCCGTACCGAGTCAGTACCCGCCGTACCGGGCCAGTACCCGCCGTACCGGCCAGCGCCCGTCGTACCGGGTCAGTACCCGCCGTACCGGACCAGTACTCGCCGTACCGAGTCAGTACCCGCCGTACCGGGCCAGCACCCGTCGTACTGGGTCAGTACCCGCCGTACCGGCCAGTACCCGCCGCACCGGCCAGCACTCGCCGTACCGGGCCACTGCTCGCTGTACCGGGCCAGTACGCGCCGCACCGGCCAGTACCCGCCGTAACGGGTCAGTATCCACCATACCACAGCAGTGCGCCGGCTGATTACACCGATGTCAGCACCGCGATACGCTGCGCTGTACGGAACAGGTCCACAGAAGGCCGGGTCCATCAGATCCGCCGGCCTTGGACGCTGTTCACGCAGCTCGGCGCGTGTCTCAGCACCCGACTCACTTGTAGGCGATGGGCGTGATGCGATTGGTTTCGACCAGCATCTTCCACAGAAGGCAGATGAAGAACGGGTGCTGGCCCTGGATGGTGAAGTGCGTGATGATGTCGTTCTCGTTGTTCATGGACATGTACTTCCGGTACTCCTCGTCGACCCTGTTCTGAAATGGGAACATTGCAGACTGCAGTTATCAGGCACGACCAGCGAGATTCAGCATCGGATCAGCTGGCAACCGGATGGATAGGTCAGTCCAACAACAAAAC